TTTTATGTTACCTTCTTCAAGATCTTCAACTTCTTGTAAACACTCTTCTATATTAGGAAAGGGAGAAGAACGTAGCCAATTTTGAGCACAAACAAGTCCTTCAACGACCCTTGGAGTTAAGGAGCTCCTAAATGGGTCTAGAACCCTACCACCAGTGCTGAATGCACTCTCAGAGGCTACTGTTGAGATAGAGACAGCAAGTATATCACGGGCCATTCTTCCAATTGTTGGAAACCTAGCACTATTAAACTTCCACCACCCCAAAATATCAAAATTTTCACATTCCTCCTCCGTTTCCTCTTCTAAATATTTGTCTAACTCAATTTTTGCTTCTCCATCTTTCTCACACTTATGTTTCTTATACTTACTTTTCAATACCTGAAGCTTCTTTTGTTTGGGAGAAAATTGGGAACTGTCCATACTTGAGGACACTTCCTCCCTAATCACATCACCAGAAGAACCACGATACTCCTCATACAATGCATTCAAAGACTCTTTCAAATTATTCACCAAAACAAATGCATGCTTAGAATCATAAATTTCAATTAACATCCACTCAACATAATCTAACTTATAACGAGGATCAAGCACAACAGCAATAAAAATCAGCATGTTTATTTTCTCCGGATCACCCCAATATTTGTCATATTTCTCCTTCATTTTAGTAGCCATAAGACACATCTCCACATCATCATTTGTCATCAAATCTTTCAAAAGGACAGCAACACTCACCAATTCATGGAAAAATAAATTGGAAGTCACATGCAAAGACCCAGAGACACGCAACGTAAGATCATAAAAGACTTGTAAAAATTCAGAAAACCTTCTGACTGTTTCCCAATCCTCAGAAGTAGGGCAGCCCTTCCCCTCCCTCTCATTTAACTCAATCACATAATGAGGGTCCTCCTCAGAGTACCTCTCAAAAGCATACTCAAACACCAAAGCAGCATCCAACATTAAAAAGGTGGAATTCCACCTAGTAGGCACATCAAGGCACAACAACTTTTTAGAGTTGATTTTTTCTTCCACAACACATTTTTTAAACCTTACCAACCTAGAAGGGGATTGTTTGATGAATCTTACAGCTTGTCTCACACGAGTAATAGACTCATTAACAATTTTCAAGCCATCAGACACAACCAAATTCACAATATGAGCAACACAACGCATATGAAGGAACCGACCCTTAAGAACCCCAGCTTTCCAACCATTTATTTTCCTTCTCATATATCCTATTGCGGTATCATTTGAGCTAGCATTATCAACAGTTATGCAAAATACTTTCTCAAGTTCCCAATCAAGCAAACATTTCTCAATTTCTTTCCCAATTTCCTCCCCCTTATGACTTGATATAGGACAAAAATTCAGAATACGTTTTTGCAAATTCCAGTCATTATCAACAAAGTGAACAGTCAAGCACATGTAATTAATTTGCTGAATAGATGTCCATGTATCGGTTGTTAATGAAACCCTTGAGTTACAATTTTTTAATACCAATTTCAGCTTTCTTTTTTGAGTTAAAAAAGTTTCATAACAATCTTTAGCCACAGTAATTCTGGAAGGGACATGAAATCTAGGCTCCATTACATTACAAAATTTTTTAAAGCCTACTCCCTCAACAAACTTAAAAGGCAATTCATCAACTATAACCATCTCAGATAAAGCTTTTCTAATTACAGTTGGATCATATTTCACATAAGACAATCCACTAGTACAACCACTTTCAATTTTATTGCTTTTGAAAGACAACAAACTTTGTTTTGATTCTTTAGGAGTATTATAGGGGTACTTACGGCATCTATTTATATGAGCCCACAATGGACTAGTGCCATTTCTCTTTGTACCACACTTGTATCTCATACCACAGTACTTGCAACGTGCTTCCATTCCAGTGTGTGTTTCTTCCTTGATAAAGTGCTCCCAAACCTCGGAACGATCCTTCATTCTCTTCCTCTTGGGTTTGGATTTTTCATTGTCAGATTCATGCTCCTCAATAGGGACATTCCCTTCAACATTATCCATATTTGTGGACATTCTGATAATCTGATTTAAAACAGAAAAAAGAACTCACTCAATAACCAACAATTTTTATGCAAATCTATGAAAAACAATCAATCTATCAAAAAGAAAACATGCAATTCGAGCATAATACTATAATAGAACAACATATATTCTGAACTCTGAAGGAATATCAGCAATTCGAGCATAATACAATTCGAGCATAAAAACTATTCAAAGAAAACAATCTATCACCAGTTCGAAAATAACAAAGAAAACATGCAATTCGAGCAGGAAAAGAGAAGTGCAAGTGAAATCTGAAATTCAAAATAACAAAGAAAACATGCAATTCGAGCAGGAAAAGAGAAGTGCAAGTGAAATCTGAAATTCAAAATAACAAAGAAAACATGCAATTCGAGCAGGAAAAGAGAAGTGCAAGTGAAATCTGAAATTCAAAATAACAAAGAAAACATGCAATTCGAGCAGGAAAAGAGAAGTGCAAGTGAAATCTGAAATTCAAAATAACAAAGAAAACATGCAATTCGAGCAGGAAAAGAGAAGTGAAATATGAAATATTGAAATTAAAGCATACCGGAACACTCGAACAGGTGGTCAGCGGCGGCCGGCGTTGGAACACTCGAACGGAACACAGGTGGTGAGAGGGAGAGATGAGGGAAAATCTAGGGTTTTAGTGAGGGAAAGAGATCAGAAACGAAAGAGAAGTGAAATATGAAATATTGAAATTAAAGCATACCGCCATACCGGAACACTCGAACAGGTGGTCAGCGGCGGCCGACGTTGGAACACTCGAACGGAACACAGCCACAGGTGGTAAGTAGGAAAGCAGGAAGTAGTGAGGTGGTGGATTGGTGGTGGTGGACGAACGGAGTGAGGTGGTGAGAGGGAGAGATGAGGGAAAATCTAGGGTTTTAGTGAGGGAAAGACCGAAAGAGATCAGAAACGGCTGAGAAATTGGGCTTATAAATTTAGGGTTTGAGTATATATATGTAGGAAAATGGGCTGAGATATGGGGCTTATACATTTCGGTTCGGTGTTCGGTTTTCGGTTTTTAAAATCCCAAAACCGAATCCAAACAGATATAATTCGGTTTTCATTTTCTCAAACCGATCCAAACCGAAAACCGAACAAAACCGAACCGAATTGCTTATTCGGTTCGGTTTAGTTCGGTTTTCGGTTTTTATCCAAACTAATACCTAAAAAAAAAAAAACCAAATTTAGGCAAAATTAACCTTTGCCTAAATGTCGGCTTGAGGAAAACTAGGGAGGTGAGAGATGTAGCGGAGGATTCCGACATCGATTAGGTTCATGGATACTCTTAAGTGGAGCATTGATAATGTTGGCTTGAAAATCGGCGGTGAGATTATCGACGGCGGTGGAGCAGTTAGCAGTCACCGTCGTTAGATCTGCTCCAATTTTGCCGCCGCAGCCCGCAGGTGGAAGAGTGAGGGAAGTCGCGGCTGGACAACGGTGGAGGAGTGAAGAGGGAGATGATCTGAGAAGGGAGATGAGAGAGGAGGGAGAAAATAGAGGAGAATGTGAGAAAGAGGCTGATAATAGGAGAAATTGAGAAAATAGAGGGGTAACTGAGAAAGAGGAGAAACTAGGGTTATAATATTAAAATATTTTAAAATATTAAAAAAAGTGATTTTTTTGGATTTTGGATCGGATATCCGATCTGATATCCGACTTTTTTTCGGATATTCGGATATCCGAAATCGAAATTTTTGATATCCGATATCCGAAATTTTCGGATCGGTTATCCTAAATTTTCGGATCTGATGCGGATCGGAATTTCAGATTTTCGGATTATCAGATAGTTTTGCTCAGCCCTAATTCAAATGGGTTAGGATTTATCATCAACTTTACGATCAGCACAGATTACGAAGGTCTTAACTTAGAAAGATGCAAAGACATCGAAAATCACTTATCGCGTCAAGCTTGAAGTGGTAGAGTGTGAGATATGCCAAATATGCAAAAGTGTTATGGTTGTGATTGTAAAAGTTATGTTTTTCGCTAAATATGTGGTTTACAAATCAATGTTATTATTGTAAATGCCGTATAGCTATTCATTAATGATATTATTTTCTTCCAGTAAAAAAAAAAATATTATCTCTTATAGATTAAAAGGATTTTATAGTCAAATTTCTAAATTTGACCCCAATATTAGATACGTGACAAATAATATGAGATGGAAGGAGTATTAGACTCTTCGCAATAGAGATTGTATTATTATAATCGGAGGGAGCCCAAGTTAATCTTATAGATAAACGTAGTATATGTTTATCTAATGGCGGGATTGTAAATAACAACACATTATACTTGTGCCAGATCATTATACATATTCAATCTATTGGCCAACTATAAAGTTCAATAAAATAATTATAAAAAATTGTGATAAATGCTGTTAACTTGAAGATTCATCTTCCTCCATTTGAAGATGCTCAAGCTTCGTCCTCCATCGAAGTTACTCAAACTTCCTCCTCCATTGAAACTTCCTCGCTAACTACAATGTCCACCACCATATTTTCGCGTGGCTTCTCCACCGAATAAAACTAAAACCCTAAGTAGAAATGGAAAAACAAACGGCATGGTTAACCCCAAAATATAGGAGTTTGTCACCATCTTCGATTTCTCCATTGTAGCCAATCATTTCTCCATTAAAAGTTTCAAATTTCAGGGATGGAAGAGAGATAATGGATTAATGGATGTCAAATGTGACGGAGAGGTAAGGTGATGAAGGCCCTATTCTTTTGAGCTTTTGGCAGAGTAGAGTAGGTGTCAGCAGAGCAGATTGAGTCAGCATAGCAAGGCTTAATGAGCAGAGCAGATTTCAACAGAACATCTTTGAAAAAAACATTGCCGAATTCTCTTTAATTAATTTTGCTTATTGACAAAATTACGTTATCACCCTTATCAAAACGGAGTACTTGAGTACTCCTTTACCCATAGATACCTTTACCGCTTTACGTCAATCACGAATATAAACTTGAATTTTCTTTTTACTCGTACTACGTTAAAACCCTGAACCTCATCCAAGTTTCGCCTCCACCAAAATCCTGAAAAAATGGGGGCACTCACACTCCGATTACCTTCTCTTTCCTCCATTTTCATCCCATCTTCTTTCTCCTCTCGCTCGACAGCAATCCTCCGCCGCCGCAACCACCACCACCATCTTCAACCCACCATCAGATTCTGCACCAGAAGTGCATCATCAGCAGAGACATCCGCTTCAACACCCACTTCCACCACCAAGCCTAAATCCCAAGACAAAGTAATCACCCCACGTTCTCAGGACTTCAATGCTTGGTACCTTGACATTATTTATCATGCCGAGCTTTCCGATTACGGCCCTGTTCGTGGTACCATGGTTATTCGCCCTTATGGTTATGCTATCTGGGAATCCATTCAGGTACTCTTTCTTTTATTTTACCGGGTTTTGATATCATGTCTTGGGTACCACTCTTCGAGACTTCAACCAACTAAGCTAATTGGTATTTACCATTTGGGTTGATTGTTATTTTTGTGTGGTTGACATTGTACCTGTTGTAATTTGAATTGTTACTTTTTCGTTTTCTTTTATTGGGTTTTGATATCATGTCTTGGGTACCACTCTTCGCGACTTTAACCAACTAAGTTAAGCTAATTGCCATTCGCCGTTTGGGTTGATTATTATTTTTGGGTGGTTGACATTGTACCAGTTGTAATTTGAATTATTACTTTGAATTTTTTCTTTTTCTTCTATTGGGTTTTGATCTCGTGTCTTGGGTACCACTGTTCGCGACTTTACCAACTAAGCTACTTGGCATTCACCATTTGGGTTGATTATATTTTTTGGGTGTTTGACATTGTACCTGTTGTAATTTGAGTTTGTTACTTTGAATTTTATGTTGTTTGATTAATTATTGATATGTTTGGTTAATTGGGTATTTGTAGGATTATTTGAATGTTAAGTTCAAGGAAACTGGTCACAGCAATATGTACTTCCCACAGGTACCAGTGTTCTTCCCTAATTGTCTTGTATATTTGATTATTTTTTTTAGTTTTATGCAGTTCAGTTATGTTGTTTGTGTAATTGCTTTTTAGTGGATGTTCTAATTTTACAATGGTGAATTTTAGTTGGAATTATGTGTCTCCTGATTGCTTTGGTTGTTTTATACTTTAATAACACATAAATTTGTATATTTGCATAGAAGTTCGAGTTCATTTAGGGAGTGTGATTGACTTGTCTCATTTGAGTCCATTGTTGATAGCTGATTGCATGAAATCGTTAATCTTGGTGGTATATGATTAATTGGTGTCTATCAAACGTAACACACTTAAATACTTAGTACTTCATATCAACAGTTTTTCATCATGGAAAAGTAACAGTTGGTTAACATCTCCAAATTAAGGTTCTATTTAGCTCATCTTATAAAATAAGAGGGCGTTTAGCATGGGGTAATAAGAAAAGGGAAAGGAAATCATAGGATATAATAAGTTGCAATTAGTAGAAATCAGTTATAGTTAGTGAAAATCGGTTTCATGCAATATGTAATACAGCGAACTAGTAAAAAAATACTCCATATCTAATAAGTAAAAAATAGTTCTATTAAAAAAAAACAGTTTTAATCAGTAAATACCGGTAACCTCATGTAGTAATGAATAATGTAATTAAATCAGTTCTAATTTGTTAAAATAAGTTTCAATTTGTAGCATTCAGTTTTAATCATAAAAAATTGGTAACTTCCTATAGTATATACTACTTCAAATTAGTAAAAAGTAGCTATAATACATGAATACTTACCAGTAATATTCAGTTTTAGTTACTAATAGGGCTATGCAAAAATCTGGAAAACCAAAATCCAATCCGTAAACCGAAAAAAGGAACCAACAATGTGGGTATTCGATATGAAATAGTTGGGTTAGGATCAGATTTTTTGAATACATAAAAATCCCGAAGGGTACGGAGTCCTGACAGAAAACTCATAAGGAATTACTTACTCATTTAATGAAGTTTTTTTTACTTTCCCTCTTCTTTTTACTTTTCAGCTTTTCACTTTCACTTTCCCTTCCATTTATTCTAGGTAAAACCAAATTCCCAAACATCATATTGACTAAGTGACTAACTATGATGCATGTGTACCTCACTTGATCATCGTACCCGTACTAAACACGCTGTACACACCCGTACCCTTATGAGTACCAAGTACTTTTGTATATTATTTATATTTTTTTATTCTCATTTTTTTAACAAACTTTTCGCATAATTTATTTATTTTGATGATTTTTAATATAATTTTTTCATCTTATATGAATGCTAGAAGTAAAATTTATCAAATTTCGTAAAAGAACATATTATATAATACTGAATTAACCATACCCGTATCCTTTATATTTTAAACTAGCGTAGTACATATCTGTACCCGATTCTGTACCCATCCTTGTGCAACATAGGTGACTAGTCTAATGTATTTGCAAGAGAGAGATAGAAAGACAATAAAAAAACAACCCTAGTTGCCTACTGATTATTGTGACTTAGTACAGTGCTGCTTGCTACTGCCTAGTTGCCTAATGCCTCTATCTTGCATCTTCTTTATAATTATTATTATTTATTAATTATTATTATTTTATTGTATGTTATTTCCCCATTGTTTTATTGTACTACTATTAAGGATTTGAGATATCAAATGTTATATGTTTAAGACCCTTTTTATTGGTGGATATATGTAGATTTCAGTTTAAACTTTTGGTGCCTATATAATATTTAAGTAAATCTGTGAATTAGATCGAGTCATTATCTGATCAAACCGATCTGAAAAAACTTGATATCCAAATAAGTAGGTGCTGAAAGTTTTGGATAGAGTTTAGTCTTGACAAATTTGCATCACGAAAATAAATAATATATGAAATAAATTTCTAGTTGATAACTGAACTCGAATTCAGGTGAACTAAACAGGCCTAAGAAAAGTTTGTTGGTAAACTAGAGTTGATATGTTCAAGATAAACTACTAATGAAGGATAAGGTATTTATGTAAATATAGCTCTTTTAGTTTCGTGCTTGTCTGTTTAGTATCTCTTACTTGTGAGATACACGAGCTATGCAGTATATTGAAGAAGAGGGTACTTTAATATATTTATTTTCATAATGTAAATTTCATAAAAAAAAGTAGGAAAAATTACATTAAATAATCCAACCTTTGCCGCATTCTCCCAAAATAAACCAACCTTTGGAGTATTCCACAATAATCTAACCTTTATACCCCTTCTTCCCAAAATGAACCCAAATGACCGGTTACCTAAATAACTGGTCATCCCTTTCCCTCTCCTTCCTCCCACCATTTGCCATCATCTTCCTCCATTACCACCACCCAAAGCTCCACCTCCATTTTATCTTCCTATTTTTTCTTTGGAAGTCACCACCCATCCCACCACCACCTTCACCAGACCGCCCCAAACAACACTACTCCCTCAATTTACAACCGAAACAATTAATGGCAGCAACAACTTCAATTTTCTACCACCGTACCAACCTCCAGCCACTTCGCATCCACCACACGACCAAAATCTCCCCGGCTACTCCCTCACGCACCAAACCCGAAATCACCACCTCACAAAACCATAACAGCAACACCCCATCCACAACACCACCAACGCAACAACCCCTCACCATCGTAATCTAGCTAGAGATTCGTGGTGGCTGGAGGTGTGTTTGGTGGTGGTTGGAGGTTTGTGGTGGTTGGAGCTGGAGGTTTGTGGTGGCTAGAGGTGTTGTTGGTGGGTAAGTTAAAGGGGAGGTGAGGTGGTAATGGAGGAAGGCCATGGAAGGGAAAGGAGAAAGAAAGAAGGATGGTGGTGATTGGGGAAGAGAGAGAAAGAAGAAACCAGTAGAGGGGTGGGTTTTTTTTTTTTTTTTTTTTAAATTTTTAATTTTTTTTAAACTTTTTTTACAACTCAAAATTTAAAAAAAAAATAAAAAAAAAACAAAAAACCAATCATGAAGTGCCACGTAGCACATATAACCGGTTGTATCAGATAGGTGACCTGCAGGTGTGATATGGGAAGAAGGGGTGTAAAGGTTGGATTATTCTAGAATAATCCAAAGGTTGGTTTATTTTGGGAGAACGGGGCAAAGGTTGGATTATTTAAAGTAATTTTTCCAAAAAAGTAGTATTAGTAACTTTTTAGAATTCATAGACACCAAGGGTTGTCACACTTGCACAAGAAGAGCGCAAAGCTTGTTACTCAAAGCAGCTAGGTATAATAAATTTTTATTTTGAAACACCAATGGTTTCTCATTTTTTGGAGATTAATTTTCATCCAATTTAAGGGATTTTGTTGCAAAAGTTTGAAGGAAATGTTTATACGTCGGGTTATGAATTGGGGGGAAATTTTATGGGAGAGATGGAAAGTGTGGGAAAGAGGGATGATTTTAAATTATAAATTGGGTTAGCGGGCTAGACTCCTTGGGAGTGGGGCCAGTGCAAAGGATAAGTAATCCCACCCCCTAGTTACCCCTAGTGGGGTTGATCTCACAACCTCATGGTTGTGAGATACAATCCTTACCGCTAGACAAGTACTACTTGGTTAAAAGTAGAGCTATTGGCTGGGAGTCTTTGTGGGATAGAATGGTGTATGTTAATTAACTTTAATGTTTGTCTAGGGTGTTCATGTTGTAAAGTGAGATAGCTTTGATTTTTTTTTTTTTTTAAGGACTCTGTCCTATATTGGTGTATAGTCTGTACACTCTATTATCATTCTCAAAAATTCTATTTACCTTTTGGAGTTACATGGAGCATTCCCAATATAAATGAAATGCTGTCAAACTGAATGAAATCTCAGGAGATATCATATTATGATTTGGGCATTATATGTTTTCAAGTGTTGCTTGAGTTTGCAATATATCTGTCTCTCCCCCTCTCTTTTTTCTCCTTTTTTTTTCTAAGTTATTTGTCTGACACCATTTTTTCTTAAACCTTTTTGCAGTTTATACCGTATTCATTTATAGAGAAAGAAGCTAGTCATGTTGAAGGTTTTAGTCCAGAATTAGCTGTTGTCACTATTGGTGGAGGAAAGGAACTTGAAGAAAAACTTGTGGTACTATTATGAATGACAATTTCATTATTTATGCTTTTGACATTGCTTAATTTAAGTTTTTTTTTTTTTTTTTTTTCCTTCTTTTTTTTGGCATCAATGTTGGTAAACTGAGTCTTGGCTTTGATTGTTGTACTTGTTGAGGTTCTGGCAGGTTCGACCTACTAGTGAAACTATAGTAAACCATATGTTCACTCAATGGATCCAAAGTCATCGTGATCTTCCTTTAATGATTAACCAGGTGAGTTTACAATAAGCTAGGAACTTTGTATCTCTCCTTTTTCCCTTCTATCTATGTCTAAAAGTTTCATTTTTAGTGGGCAAATGTCACAAGATGGGAGATGCGCACAAAGCCATTTGTGAGGACTCTTGAATTTCTTTGGCAAGAAGGTCATACTGCTCATTCCACTCCAGAAGAGGCAGAGAAAGAGGTTTATTTTATTTTATAATTTATCTATATTAAGTTGTTAGATGTGATAAATGGCAATACTCTTAACTACTGGATAAATTTTTCTTGTTACAGGCCTTGCAGATGATTGATGTCTACACAAAGTTTGCTTATGAGCATGCTGCAATACCTGTAATTGCAGGCAGGAAATCAAAGGTAGAAACATTTGCTGGTGCTGATAGAACTTATACAATCGAGGCTATGATGGGTGACAGGAAAGCTCTACAAGCTGGCACTAGCCACAACCTTGGACAGAATTTCTCACGTGCATTTGGCACACAGGTTCAGCCTAGTGGCACTTATTGCTTGTATATGTTTAATCTGAAATGATGCTGCTGGTTGAATGAAGGATTTGAACATTTATATATGCAGTTTACTTATGAGAATGGGCAAAGGCAACATGTGTGGCAGACTTCATGGGCTATAAGCACACGTTTTGTGGGTGGTATAATCATGACTCATGGTGATGATGCTGGTTTAATGCTTCCTCCAAGGGTTGCTCCTATACAGGTAACTTGTTGTATTTTCCAACTACTCTTTTATAAAATGAATGTGTGACATCTTGGCATGAACTTAGTGGCTGCATTTCAAGAAGTATGTCATCATGCAGCAAAGAATATTGTATTTTTTTTGTAACAAATGGAAAAATAAAAGATGGGACAACTAGAAAGGGAATCTGATTGCTTACAGAGTCAACAAATTGCGCTTGCCAGATTTATCTAAAGCTTGAATTTGTGTTACTGTAGGCAAAAAGTTCTCCTTCAACAACTACCTTATTTTAGTTATATTATTTTTTAGGAAAACTGATTAAATGAAATGATTTTTTTCCATTAAAATCAATACAAACACACATCTTCTGATCTAGAAAGTTTGTCTCACTTACTGTAATCGTGGAAAGCTTCAGATAAGTGATTGGATGTGAGACAAGATGAATAATGAGAGATGGAGTAAAAGGTGAGTGGGGGTGAGAAATTATGTATAAAGTTAACAAAAATGAGTGGAAAGGTGTAAATAGTTGTCTAGTAAGGTAAGTTTCTGAAACACCCCAAATGAAAAATAAGTTAAACTTTTAGGATCGGAGAGAGTATTTTCAGTTTAAGGTTGAGATTGTATGAAAAACAACTTGCCTCTCACCTAGAAAATGAAGAACAAAGATATGAAATTTGAAAGGGAGAACAAAGAGACCTTAAACGTTATTCTGGTTTGATGGAATGTCATCCTTGGAGTAAAATGCGTGTACTTTTTGACTTACTCATTAAATAGTATAGGACTATAGGTTATATGTGTAGATTATGTACAACTTATAGTTTCGATCATGAGTTGTCTTCTCTATAGTTCAAGTTATGTTGAGTAATTTTCTGTTTATTTTGGTGTAGTTTAATTCCTGATTTCGTGTTATATTGTTTATATGCCCTTTCAGGTTGTGATTGTACCCATTTGGAAAAAGGAAGAAGAGAAATTAGGAGTTCTTGATGCTGGCATTTCTACTTATGAAGCCTTGAAAAGTGCTGGGATTAAAGTTAAATTTGACGACTCTGAGCAGCAAACCCCTGGATGGAAATTTAACTTTTGGGAAATGAAGGTGTGAGTTCACTCTTGATCATTGTCATGAGGCTTATTTCTGGCATCCCAGCACTTTGTTTTTCACCATATAATTCTCTGTATGCTTTATCATGTAATTGTTACTGCTTTTATCTTTCCATTATACTGCTTTGCTTTCTCAAATCACTGGTAGTCTAGACATTTAAGCATCATGCCATATTTATACCATTTTTAGATTTCTGTGGCATCATATTTAGGTATTTAACAACATAGCTCATGTGATGAATTAGTGTGAAATTTTTTCCTCATGTACAACTTCATTTTTTTTAAATGGTGACATCTATTAACCTTGGATGTTGAATTGGTAAGGTTCATATTACATCCTATTAGATCTTTCCCTACATAAGCAGTGCTTTCATACTAAATTAGTAATTAGGAGTGAATTGTCAAACAATTGGTGATGCTGGAATCAAATATTAATAAACAATGGAACATACTTGTGATAAACACTATAAGATCTTTTTCCCTACATACGCAGTGCTTTCATATGAAATTAAGAATTAGGAGTGAATTGTCATAACAATTGGTGATGCTGGAATCAAATATCAATAAACAATGAAACAGACTTGTGACAAATACATCTCCCATACTCCCTTATTGCTGATCAAAATGAATTCTGGTTAAGGCCAAAGGTTCAACATATTCTATATGCCATTACAATTCTGATGCTTTGTTGGCCTACTACAATATAAGCTATATTTACACCATGAAACTGCTGGGATGCAGCCATGACTTGGTTCTGATTCTTTGTTAGGTAGTAGTTGCTGAAGTTTTTGATATAAATGATACCCTGGTTGTGACTGTTGTTTTTTTGCAAATTTCATTGGTTTTTTTAATTTTTATTTTATTATCATTTTTTACTTTTCCTTGAGTATACTAGTTTTTGGATGCATCTTTGTTGAGAATGGGATAACTCAGAGCATCTTAGATACGATTACATCTTCTTTCAAAATTTATTTGACAGGGAGTTCCTGTAAGAATAGAAATTGGTCCACGTGATGTTTTGAATAAGAGTGTGGTCATATCAAGAAGAGATATTCCTGGTAAACAAGGAAAAGTATTTGGAGTATCCATGGAACCTGATGTTCTGGTTTCTTATGTAAAAGACAAGTTGGATGAAGTACAGGCATCATTGTTGAGTATGGCAACATCATTCCGTGATAGGTATACTCCTTTGCTTTATTTGTGATTCTTCAGCTAGTTGTAGATGCATATTCTTATCTTTAAAACTGGATCATGATACTTTTCTTTTGATAGTGGTAAATTGTGGTGAATTATATTGTGAACTGTGCATTCTGTTTTTGGGCTGCTTTGTGCACAGTTATGCGCTATGTCATTATGCTAGTGTGACTATTAATTTGACATCCCATTCTATGTTTATTGTTAGGTATGTAAAAAAAAAAAATAAAAAAAAAACACTTATAAGAAGATAACTTATTGAATAATAAAAGATGATAAAGATGAGACCCAACAACAAACAACCTAGTACAAATACTACGATTCCTACCTTGGGTAGAATTTTGTGAAACTGCTAGAGAGACTGTCCTGAAAGACCCTTGAAAAACCTTTTAGATAAAGATGGGGAGACTATGGACCTGAAATTTTGCACAGTATGGCTTTAAAAACCAGATTACTAGAATGCCATGATTGCTGTCTTTTCCTATTAGTCAAAAATCCCAACTTCCTATTCCAGTCTGGTGGCACCCACCCCCAAATGGATCCTTAGAGACTCATATACTTTAGTTGTTCCTTCATAACCTTGACAAAAGTTGCAGTGTTTTGATATGGTAGGAGGCTTTGGTGCTAGCAATATGTGTTCATTTGCTTGCTTGCTTATCACCACCGTATTTTGTCTTCATTCAATTAAGGTCCTTCTCTCTTAGCAAGTTATTTGGGACATAAAACTTCTGGGTGAAGCAGAAGCCTTTACTTGGACAGTTCTTAACATAATTAAGGTATCCTTTACTGGCTTTAAAATCATTTGTGGGTTACATGTAGTGGGTAGACTATGGCATAGTCCAGGTTTTGAACTTGTTCTCTTCGCCAGAAATAAGGTGTTGTGGTATAACTTTATTAATCTTTCTGATTCAGTTTTGATCTCATCTGGTGTACTAGTTTGATTAAATTTTGACCGCATATTAAGAGAATATGTAAGAAAAAAATTATGAAGTGTGTTAGATTTGTCTCAAACTCTCAATGACTACTTTTCAACTATGTGAATATTTTAATTTATTACTAATGTGTATTTAAAGATACATAGCTATAAGCAAACAGATATCAATATATTATCTGGTTTGATCTAATGTTATCTGGTCTGATTTTGACTAGATAAAGTAATTAGTTTTTAAAAAAGATTAAAGAGAACAGATTCTATAGGAAAAATTGAACGATGTTGTTTGATTGGTCATTACCTGATGATGAGCCTCTTCCAAAAGCTGATTATTTAGAAGACTTCAAATAAAATTAGTAACGTAGCATAAAGTGGATTTTTGTTGTACAACATGAAGCTGTTCACAATATCAGATATTGTCTTATATTCTTGTAATAATGTCAGTTCCCAAACTGTAAAGAACTAATTTTCTGATATGTTCTTTCCTCGTAAATTGCCCTCTTAAAAGGCCTACCAAAATTGATAGAGTATGATTACATCATAAATACTAAGTGGGAAAGTGTATTAACAAGGTCCTTTTTTCTCTTTCTAATTAGAAATGAGATTACTCTTACCTGTCCCAACTTTGTAGTGCCTGTAAAAATTTCTCAATGTCACAATATGATCTGTGACTTTAATGCATTGAGTACTTACATGAAGCAGTCTACACTGTAGTTGATCGAGGGTGGATTAATGCAACATAAGAATAATCAATTGTGAATGTATTTAGTATTAACTGTTTTTTCCTTAAATTTTTTGAAATTCCTATGGGGGATATAAGAATGGAGTGGAGTATGTATGATGGTAGGAAGTCTGAATACGGCAGGATACAAGCTGTTGTTGATCAGAAATTGTTACAATTGTTCAGAAGGGGTTGTTTACTTACCTGCTTATAAAGGATAACTTGAAGATTATAAAAAAAATATCGGCATTAAATGTTGTTGAGGTATGCTCCATAACCAGTTGGGATTTCTTTCTTCAATTGGGCCCACGTATATTCGCCTCATATATCTTGCCAATTGACCCCAGTACTGCAGTATGGCCTAGTATTTTAGGTGTAATTAATAAATTTATCAAGTTTGTTCCTCTTCCTTTCTCTTCTCCTTGCTTCTCATGCCAGCACACTTTTGGTGCAGACCCACGGGAAGTCCCTGATTTTGCCAACCCATTACTGTTTACCCTGTTTTTAATGGTTGATATGATAGACCAGCTGGAAGTCACTGATAATTTGATGATGGGGTCTTTGGATCCATAGACCCCATTGCTATGTGCAGAAGTTGCTGGCAATAGTGCTAAGTTAAAATTTCCCCAAGTCGTATTAGTAAAAATTCCAGCATCCCTTATACAGCCATGTTTACCGACGTTGTGGAACAGCTCCAAATCTGAAAATCTGTGTTTAGTCCATCAAATTTTGGGCTAGGGAGAGGGTTGGCCTGGAAATGTGCTGGAGGAGAAATGGGGAAGAGGGGTGATGTGGGTCAGCATGCATTGGTATGTGATATCAACTTTAAGGAGATTCATACATCAATGGTCTGTGTGAGAGCTTGTCCCATCTCTAGAATTCAAAAATAGTATTACGTTAGTTGAAGATTACCAGGCATTACTTACTTGAGATAAGGATTCTACTTGTGTGTCATATGGCTGTTTTATGGAAATATGCATGGTTCTCATTTTGTAATGCAGAAAGGTAGTCTTTAGTTGTACCTCTCTATGTTGGTTGTATCGAGTGCCTTTTTAAATTTTTTTTTCAATATGTTAACTGACTAAAATTATATTTGGCAGTAACATTGTGGATGTGACATCATATGAAGAGCTTAAAGCGGCAATATCTGATGGAAAGTGGGCAAGGGGTCCTTGGTCTGGCAGGTCTTCTTCTTCTCCGCCTTTCTTTCTCCTACCATCTCTCATTTCTTACTTAAGAAGCTGATGTTTAGAGCAAGAGTTTGAAATCGTTTCCTTTCTTTACTATGTGAACATTATGTATCTGTTTAATATAATTTGTTTTTCTCATTGCTTTGTACAGTGATGAGGATGAGTTGAAAGTAAAAGAAGAAACCGGGGCAACAATTAGATGTTTCCCTTTTGAACAACCTCAAGGGACAAAAACTTGCTTGATGACAGGAGGTCCTGCTGAGGAAGTCGCAATTTTTGCAAAATCATACTAGCCAGAGGTTTTTATGAACAACCTCAAGGGACAAAATCATACTCTAATGCAAAGGGAGTTTTGCTTTGGCATCATATTTTGGTTGCAAATTGTTCTAAGATGCGATTTTTTATGAAGCAGATGTTTAGGAACAACAGATATGATTAGTTCTTTCGCTCCAAATCGAGAATACATGGCATACATTATTGTACATTTACCTTCATATACTGTTTGATGTGAGAGATTTTATCTTTTCAAAAAAAAAAAAAATAAAAAATTGTGAGAGATTTTATAGGCGAGTGAATTGTAGTAATATTCTTCGTTTCCAACTTGTAGACTTTTTGGTCCAAGGTTTACTATACATTCAATTTGTCATGATTCAATTCATTGTGTTGCTCCTAAATTTTGAATAAAATGTGGCTTGGTCTTGCAATAAATTGCTCGTCTTAATTTTTTAAAACTAGAGTTTATCAGGTTTCGATACTAGATAGCAAATTACAGTGTTTTTATTCTTCCTTTTGGATAACTTTCACACTTCTTTTAATCACAACATCAACCTGTGGTAGTCCTCAACCAAATAGCAGCTGTGTATTATTTTGCTGGAGAAATGACCTCTTTAAGTCAAATAAAATGGGAGATGAAGCTTTGTACCAGTAAGAGGAGCATCCAATGCATACTGGGAGAGGAGTAGGCTGCTGCTATCCATTCAGCCAGCTCGTCTAGAAGCGACATCTTCCTCCTACCCTGATAGGCCTGATTCTATTCAAGTTAGGCAAAACCATAAGGTCTAGTCAGAGCTGCCTAGTTTTTATTGTTCAACTTTTCCGATAGTAAGAATTGCTACGGTTGTAGTACTCGTTAAGCTCTTAAAAGAAAAAAAAAACAGAAACTCTATCCTTAAGCTTCGCATACAGTTGATGGAATTGTAATTAATTCAAATCAGTAAATTCATTCCCTAAAGCCTGACCGAAATTCTCAAAGTTGCACCTGTTGTTCCTGAAGTTATTAGATTGAGTTCTTTCGTTCTACGTGGGTTTGACTTGTCATCCTCGAATATCACTGCAGCCATCTACGGATCTACCACTAGTAGCCACCGTAACAGCCTCCCAGAACATCCATAACCAGTTAACCACCCACCTTTTATCACCAAAACAGCCCAAAATGAGACTCAGAAAATCTATCACTAATTATTTTTGTCATTGATGAGACAATAACAAAGTAAGCACTTATAATTTTAGACCTCATTTCAGTATAAACATTGTACCAACAACATGATATGAGGTCTAAAAATACCAATGAACATTTGTTGTCAAAATTGACGAGCAATTATTGATTTTGTTCGCCTCGACAGGTTTCCCGTTCTGTAGAAATTTGTAATATTTTCACTATAAGCGATAAGTCTGTTTGCAAATACAATCGGAATTTTGTATTGTAATTGTATGGTCATTTCAAAAATTTGCATACAAGAAACCGAAATGTACTTGTATAATGATCAATTGAACAATGTAAGATACATAAAAATAAAAACAAATCAACAAACATACTAGGAATTGTATATGATTCAATCTGAACGTTTCTTTGAATGGCAAACACATATGTAATCCTAAATGTGTAAAATGTAATTTTCTTATGAACATTGAAGTGATGATTTAACCATTACATGCAACAAGTGATGTAAAAACTAATAGAAAGTCTTAGTTAATACAAGCTTAATGGATCAAACTTAAGTGGAAAGAAAAAAAAAGGTTGGTGTTTTAAGTTAAATTACGGGTAAAGGTTTGTAGGTTGTTTTGGAAATGGTTAAGGAACGTTTTATAGAGGAAAGAAGGGTTAGTTTGTAAGGATTACTCACTTAAAAAAACAAGATATGTAGGCAAGGATTACTCACTTAAACCCACTACTTGTTTAATTTGCATGGAAGGAAAACTCACTTAACCACTCAAATTCGTCAAGTTAAACTTGGCAACAAAACGATTTATCTTAGCAACAAGAATAAATAGTTTTTAAGGAGAAAACTTTCTTAATTCATATATCATAATCTGCCATACACTTATATTTCATAAGCTTAAATAAAGAAAACAAACTAATACTAAACTATACGCATTAAACAAGCTTAATGTGTGTTTATTGTAACTAAACATGAAAGCTAAAACCTAGCCTAGAATCACGCCTAAGCTAAACAGATTTTCTTAACTGATTTTAGGCTTTAATCACCCTTAATTAACCTCTTAAAAACTGCTGAAAAAAAGGCTTAAAAACAGCCATAAAGAACCAGCAAAAACGTGGAGTAACCTCCCCTTGATTCATGCCTTTCTTCATGCTAAATGTTTATGACTTGCAATGAAGTTTCTCCTTGCTTCAAGGACTCCTTTTCCTATGCCTAAGGCTGTTCAAAACGTGCCTAGGATGCCCATTAACATTCATAACCAGAATGTAAACAAGTAAACCCTTGGTTAGCAAGAAACGGTCCATGCGCACAAAACGTATCTAACACTTGATCTTCAAATGACTTAGCAAGAATGATTTCTTTGTGAATTGGACTTGTAGGATGATCATGCTTGATTGGACTAATGGACTCGTCATGATTTGCATCAACAAGTTCAAATTAAAGTTTACAATTTTTGCAAACATTTATTTGTCACACCTCAAAAGAATAATATATAATTTGCTGACAGTTTTTCTCACCATTACAACAAATTTTTATAGCAGCTATTGTACCACCTTAGGTGACACTCCATCTTAGAGAAGGCATTCGCCTTATAATCACTGAATGTAGAGCTCAACAAGTTCATCCAAGGACTCATAAGCGTCGAGATTAGGATCACCATTTTCAAGCATCCATAGAAGATGATAAAAAAGAACTACTTCACACTTAATGTTGATGCTACGATCCCCTGGACTTTGCTTCGACTTTTCAATTAGAGCATTCAACAAAGGGTGAGTCAAGTACTTGGAATCGATCACATACCGCCTCCTCGAACTCCCTACATAGATAGTCTCTCCATTGTCATCACAATGATGCTGTCGGCGGTCTCCTACCTTCGAACATTCTTTAGTTGAGTTGGATCTTAGACTAGTATAGGAGGATGATGTTTTCAATTGCCTTGATAAACTCTTGCATTTTCTTAACATCAAATGAAGCTTTTTCATCTTATTTTTATTGATGCTATGAATGGATATATTGAATGAATTTGAAACCATAGAAAGAGACTACAATAATGAATTAATGAAGGTTACTTAAGATACACTCACATTGGTGCCAATTTGTAATAGGAAATTCACTCCCCCCCCCCTTTTTTTTTGTTGTACCTTTTATTTTATTTTCATTTTTTTAGTTGGGTGGGAATAATGAAGTTGTTGGCTTTTATTCCATGAAAGTGGGAACAATATCTAGCCAAAAAATCTATAATGACAAAATTATGCTTTCTCTTCATTTTCAGATTATTAGTACTACTTACTATTACATATTAGTTTCACAGTATCACATATACTGTATGAAGATGGAGCATACATACCTTCCTATCTTACTTTGTTGGGGTGGAAAATTGACACGTGTGTGTGGCGAAAAAAGTAGAATTAGAGTGGTTTTAGGGTGAAAGTAAAAGATGGTTACACGCCGAGCCATTCAGGCCTATTTGCCGTGTCAACGAGTCTCGTGCTCAAACATGTTGTGCTTGAAATGGACCAAAATTAAGTTAGGGCCTATACACGGCTTGCCCACGTGCCAACGCTCATCATGCTCATGTCAGACTCGTGCCAAATTTTGTAAATGATGTCTATGGACAACATGTAGAAAATTATTATCGATCTCATTTCACGTCGGGTTTACGAAGAGCTTGTGTCAGGCCTAAGCCCTAATTGTCAGCCTAATTCACACACAACACAACTCTAATGATACAAGTGTGATATAAATATGAATATAGGGTGATCTAACTTTTATTGAGGCATGAAGTTACCTTTTAGTAAATCATATAACTATGATTTATTAACAAAATAAATAAATTAGCAAATAAAGTGAAAGTGTAGCCAATAAAGAAAATGTCAATTTTTGTAGTAATAACATTATATGGAATTAGTATTATGTTATTGTTTATGGTAATGCTAGTTCCAGGCTATTACCAAAATAGTTAAAAGAAATTTGGATGTTAGTCAAGTCTTTATAAAACTTCCAAACCACTATAAAAGTTTAGCCAAAGTAAAAATTTATAGAAATTTTGTTGGCAATTTTTATTGTACCACCGTTGTACCACGGGCATGGTAAAACAAAGCAAAGCTGCTATTTCTTGACTGCTGAAAGATTAACCCAACTATTTGGGCAAGTGAAGTAGAATTGTCTTCCATGTCAATTTGCTTCCCAAATGCAAACAAATCATATCTTAAGAATGTAGGTAGAGTGTCACAATGCCACCAAAATTTAATCGTCGATTATATGCATAATTAGAAAGTTGTCGTGAAGTGTTGGATCACTCATACTTGACGATTCATGGTTGGATTTGGGAAAGTAATGAAAGCTTATCACCAACTTAACGTAATCTCTTCTTGCTTAAAAGGAAATGCATCTTCTATTTATTTTTTTAAGAAAGAGAAGAATAAGAATTGCATATATATAGAGCTGTCAATTCGGGTAAACGGGTCGGGTAAGTGTGGGTCGGGTCAACTCGGGTTGTGTCAATTCGATTTAATGTCATAACCTATGCAGGTCGGGTTGGGGTTGGGTCATGCTTGAGTCGGGTCACGTCGGGTCATAGATCTTATTGGGTTTGGGTCGAGTTTAGGTCGGGTCAATAACAGGTCGGGTTACATTCGGGTTTTCAAGGGTTAAAACGAGTTAGGGTCATTCTCGGGTTTGAGTCGGGTTCGGTTCAAATCAATATTTTGCGGGTTATAATCAGGTCGGATCATTTCCAAGTTGGGTCATTCTCGGGTTTAAGTCGGGTTCGGTTCAAGTCAATAATTTGCGGGTTACAATCAGGTCGGGTCATTTCCAAGTCGGGTCATATTCGGGTACAGGTTCAGGTCTCAAATATTGGGTTAATCTGGGTTTCGGGTTGATTTCAGGTCGGGTCATATCGGCTTCAAGTACATTTTTTGGGTCGGTTTGTTAACAGTTCATTTTTTGGGTCGGTTTGTTAATAGTTCAAGTCAGGTTCGATTCAAGTCAATAATTTATGTATTTTTAAGTTTGACTTTTTTTATACGTATTTGGTAAACCCGAGTTATTTTATTTGAAATTAATTAAACTTTTTTTTTTCTAAACTTATTATATTTGAAATTATCTAAACTTGTTTATTTATTATAAGTTCATATCCGAGTTAACGTTTTTTTTAATGGCATTTTTGTATTTTTTAATGGCATTATTGAACTTATCATACTAACTTGTTTGCACAACCACACAACTACACAAGTGACAACGTAACTATATAACTATACTTTGATC